CCCCAAAACCCCAAAACCCCAAAACCCCAAAACCCCTAAATTTCTGAGTAAAAATGAGCTTCACAAAGATTCTTCGCTTATAAAAATTATAAGGACATAAATCGATACATAAAAGAAATGGGTGGCTGTAGGTATTAAGTGCAATAGGACAAATGAATTGAAAACTGGGAATTCTAAGGTGAGAAATCAACCGAACCTCAGTAAGACTAGCCACTGGTATACGGAACAGTAGGTGGGCGGGTGTTTATAATGCTAGATCATGTTGGACAATCCGGTCTTTGACCTGGAAACCTTACGATTAGATCCTATCACCTATAGCCTTATCTATTTATATCACTTCATGTCCATGAATACTTTTATTTCCACTGGTGATTTGACCTTTAGGCTAGTAACCCAGCATTGGATCTAACTGTTGGTTTGCACCATGAAATTTCAGACTAAAGCCAACATTATGAATCAAAGGTTCATGGAGTTGACCTTTAATAATGTTGTTTCTACATTAGACTAAAAATTATAAGGGTTAAAAAGAGGACCAAAGATATTGACAGATATTATAAGAAACTTATCTTATGAATTGAACCATTTTCTTAATCATAGATTTTTTGCGAGTCCAGGAATACAGCTCAAAATTAGATGATGGGCAATAAGACATGTCAAATGGATCCAGGACAGCAATAAATGCTTCGTCTAGCTTTTTCTTGACTCTTTTATCAAGAATTGATCCCAAACTTCCTAAATAAGATTAGTTTCATGGATTGATGCTAATTGGAGCTTACTGATCTTCTGGATCTTTCCTTCTCGTGTGTTGACTACATCGTGAATGGGATCAAACCCTCCTCCTCCGAAGTAAAAATGTACGAACTTATTTAAACAGTTCGGAGACTGAGTCTTGGTTAACTTCAAGTTTCATGAAGGACTGAATCTCTTCATGATCATATTCAAAGTTAAAGTCAAGGTTGGATTCTAGTACTTTGTAATCATAATTGTTTGGGTTTTGTGACCCATCTCCGACTGTGATGTATGATGGAGAAATTAATTCTATAAACTAGTCTATCTTTAATACCTTTGCCTTCTACCGAAGAACCCATGTTGATGATCCTAGGCAACACTGGAGGAGAGCACTTGTCCTGCAGAAACACAATCAGCATTCAGATCAGACTGAACGAGTTGAGTTTCTTTGTGTCTGAGTCGAAGATTTGCCTGGAACTGACAAAGTGTTTGATGAAGTATCCAAGTTTATGAAATCTAGAATCGATTTCAGCCAAGGTACGAACATATTCACTATTTAGAAGTCCTGTAATATTATTGAAAGTTATTTCAATTTCTGTATCATCAGCTAAAGTAGCTTGAAGTAAAGGAATTCTTCTGAACGAGTTGTTTTCCCATATATTTGGTCCATATTTACTTATCAAGCATTCCTCTTAATTCATCAGAATATCAATATGGATGAGTCATTCAATTGTTTGTTAAAATTCAAGCCAGATCAATTTGGTTCGATTTATTTTTTAAATAATCTAAGAATTAAGGAGTATCAAGAATGCTCATTAAAATTATATATCTTTGAATTCTAAAGAAATGGGAATCAAGTAAAATAAATTATATTCTCTTGACTCCATAATTGTCATAAAATAGATTTTTCTGTTTTCTGTCTTCTACCTTGTTTAACTTTTGCTTATCATATCTTAGAAATGAGTAAATATAATTGTCCATAATAATTCAACACTAGTCTACAATTCCAGATCAATATCGCTTGTTCCTTTTAGCAAAAATCCGTTCGATATCGACCCGTACGGCCTGATCGCTCAATCCTGCTGCCACTCCTTTGCAATGGCTTGGATGGTGGCTAGATGCTCTTTGATATTACTGATCGTTTCTTGGTCAGGCAGCTGGTCTCTAGAAATACAACTGAGGACTTACAAATAGACTTGCTCAATGGTATCATCAGTCACATCAGGAAACAGCTCAGCGTAATCAACGAAAGAACTGAGCTCCCCATTGTTAGAGAGATATGGAAGCATGTCAGAAATGTCTTCTATCTTATCTGAAATTTGATCAAAGCTTAACTCTGGATGCTTTTCTTGGTACCTTTCCACTTCTAGTTTTATCGTTCCAATCACTTTCTGGAGCTTACTAAATGTCCAATTTTGTGTGTAGAGGATCCATAAGAGTAAATAACGGAGCTGGATTTCATAGTAAGTTCTACCTTCGATCTCTGTATTGTATTTTAATCTCTTAAGTTGTTCCTTTAAGATAAAATTAGGAATTCAAATTCAAAAATTTTGACTTACACCGAGGTCAAATTTGTTTACTATTTTGAGTACGATGTCTATACCAGGGGTTAGACAAGTAGGGACATACTATTTTCAGGAGTTGCCATGTAATTTAGCAATAATAATATTTATTATATTCCAGTGCCTGGGGTTTTGGGGTTTTGGGGTTTTGGGG